TGCTTGCAGTTAAAAATTCAAATGGGGCCAGGTACAGTGGCTCACGCCTGTAATCCCAGCACTTTGAGAGGCTGAGATGGGCAGATTGCTTGAGCCCAGGAGTTCGAGGCCAGCCTGGGCAACATGGTGAAACCCTGTCTCTACAGAAAATACAAAAATTAGCCGAGTGCAGTGGTGATCACCTGCAGTCCCAACTGTTCGTGAGTCTGAGGTGGGAGGATTGCTGGAGCCCAGGAGGTCAAGGCTGCAGTAAGCCGTGATCATGCCATTACACTTCAGCCTGGGCAACAGAGTAAGACCCTGTCTTTAAAAAAAAAAAAAAAATTCAAATGGGGCTAGAATGCTTATAATAAAAACTAGCAGCTCACTTTCCCACTCTACCCAATTCCTGATTCCATTCCACAATAACCACTTTTCTACTGTTGACTTTTCTAATTTTCTCTTATTTACCTATATATTTCTAGTTGTGCAACCATCACCACTGTCTAGTTCCATCCAAAACATTGCCATCCCCCAAAAAATCTTGTACCTATTAAGCAGTCATTCCCCACTCCCCCCACCCCCCCAGGCCCCGGCCACCATTGATCTGCTTTCTGTCTCTATGGACTTGCCTATTCTGGATATTTCATATAAACAGAAATCTCTTACTAATTTCCAAACAGTTGGATGATCTGTGTCACGTGCCTATCATTAATATTTTCCAGTTACTTGGTGTCAGTTTCAGTCTTTGTTTTGCTTGCCTTTTTTTCCTGGCATTGACTCCCCAAGGGCCTTTTGTCCCCCTGCTCCCATGTGGCCGCTCTCTAGGGCAGCTGCACAGGTGTCATCCTTGGACTCCCCTTTGCTGCTCTTCTATGTTACAGTCTCTTGTTCACTGGATCCTATTTTTCTCTTTATTGCTTTATGCTCTTCTTTTGCTGGAGCCTATCCTGCAGAAGCTTCCTGCCAATGATTGTTTTGGAGGAAATTAAAAGAAAACCAAACCAAATCTCTCCTATCCAAGGGGAAGAACTTTATCCCCATATTAATTGAATATAGGATTCGAGATTTAAAATGTTGGTGGCAGTTAGAGTTTGCTCTTTTTTTTTCTATTGGAAAGGTCCACAAATGTTTTGTTGACATTTTTGTCTTTAATCCATTTGAATTTGGGGTACATGTTATGATTTGTCTACATTAATTTCCCTTTTAAAAATAAAAATAATTCCTCAACTCCAATTAGACAATTGAGTTGCCCTTTTCACACTGATACCTCTTTTATAGTACACTGCATTCTTACGTATAACAGGATCTGTTTTTAGCTGTGTATCCTGATTCAGTAATTGGTATATATGTGTGTGTCTATAGATCAATAGAATGCCATTTCCATGTGCAGACTCAAGGGCAAACATTCCTTTTTCTATGACTACATCTCTTGTCAGGTGTCCCCTCTGCCGTGGCTCTATAGGATTCTGTTAGATAGCGGTTGTCATTGCACAACTCTACAAATATACTAAATGCTACTCAATTGCTCATTTTAAAATGGTTAAAATGGTGAGTTTTATGTTGTATTTTACAATACGAGAAAAAATCATACAGAGCAAATTAAGCCATAAAAAGGGCAGTTACTAACTCCAGGGAAAATAACATTTAATTCTGTGATCTTTGAAATTTCTTCTATTTAAATTGTTTTAGAGTACATACATTATCTATGTGACCTGCAAAAAGTAACCTAATCTCTTTGAACTTCATTTTCTTGTCTGTAATGTGGGTTGTATCAGTTTGGTTTCTTTGTTGCAAGCTGCAGAAACCAATTGTGTCTTTAGCAAACACGGACTGTTTGGAAAGCCCAGATCCAATTTGCCTTTCAGATCCGCTCTCTGACATTCTCCTGCAGTGCGTCCTTGGGGACTGATCTCTACCGTCCGCTTCATCTGGGCGTGCTTTATCCTCTGGCTTCTAACTGTGTTTGGCCACTGGTAGAAAATCAGAGCGGGGAAAAAAATGTAAGAGTATTAATTTTCCCACTCCGCCCCTGCCAGCCTGTGGTAGTTACTGTCTTTTTTTTTTTTTTAAGGAAAATGTATCCAAAACGTGTTTATTGGAATGGTTTCCCATTTATCCTGATTCAGGGTGCTTTTAGTGCTGCTTCCTCCTAAGAAACATTCTTCTGTAAGCTTTGCCTGTCCTTCCATAGGCTGATAGGACAGTGGAACAGTCAACACACACAGCTTTGGGCATGGCAAAAGAGCATGGTGACTTTATAGTATCCTGGTCATTTCACATCCATGAAGAAGGAATTGGTTTGTCACCAGGAGCTTCTCGGGTTTTCTCTTCTGGAGAGGCGTGAAGGAGATCCTTCTCTAGCGACATTGCGCTGGAAAGCTTATTCCTTTTTCTGTGTCTGCATCTCCTGTTGGATGGCCCCTCTGCTGTGGCTCTGTAGATTCTGCTAACGTGACTCCCTTTTTTTAATCCTTTAGTCTGCAAGTGGAGATGCAATTCTGTTGACATTTCCTGCGTTTGTCTCCTTACCTTTAGGGACCTAGTTAGGTAGCAGGTAAAAATCAACTGTCTTCTAGAAACGTCACTGCTAGAATGAGTGAACTTCAATTGTTTTTAGGCTTTTTGTTTCTCAAAATTAAAACTGCAGGAAAGGACCAGGCAATTCACCTAGCATGGATCATTTACCTTTAAGGTAATTTACCTGCCCCTTGGCAAGGGGAGAGCAAAATGCCTGGATTAATAGTCCTACTGCTGAAATCAAGGACAGATAATTTTCCTAAAATAAATTAGTTGTTACCATAGATGAGAAACACAGATGCTGCTAAGCTTAAACAATATATTTCCACTGCATGAGGATGCTAATAATATCTGTCCCACACAGTTATTAGGATTAAAGAGTAAAATTATAAAAGTTAACAGTGCCTGGTAGGTACATGGTAAGGGCTTAATAAATGTTGGCTACTGTTATGAAGATGCTTTCCACATTTGTTTTCAGCTTTTAATGTTTTAATTATTTTCCTAAATAAAATTTAGAAACATTTTCCAGGTTTTTAAAAAGTAAATTTCTTTGGGATTTTTATTGGACTCAAATTTATAAGTTAGGAAGAACTAATATATAATACTCAGATCTTAAAAACATCAATGATATACATTTTGATAAATTTTTATAGCTCCTAGCAAAATTCTGTAGTTTATTTCATGCAATGTCTTAACAAGTTTTAAGTTTATTCCTATATATTTTATGATTTTGGATTTTCTTCTTCTTCTTCTTCTTCTTCTCCTTTTTTTTTTTTTTTTTTTCCAGGGTCTGTTGCCCAGGCTGGAGTGCAGTGGTGCTATTTCAGCTGACTGCAACCTCTGCCTCCTGGATTCAAGTGATTCTCATGCCTCAGCTTCCCGAGTAGCTGGGATTACAGGTGTGCACCACCAAGCCTGGCTAATTTTTGTATTTCTAGTAGTGACACCATTTTGCCATGTTGGCCAGGCTGGTTTTGAACTCCTGGGCTCAAGTGATCCTTCTGCTTTGGCCTCCCAAAGTGCTGAGATTATAGTTGTGAGCCACCACGCCCGGCTCAGTTGTTATGGTGAATGGGATTTCCCATCTTATGCAAAAATTACTGCAGAGACCATTTACTCCCCGAGGTAGATTAGTTTTGAAAATAGAAACATAGATCCAACAACTACTCAGTGTTTGCTATTTGCTTGTTGAGAATCCTTACAGCCTGGCAATTACAGGGTTCTAGAAATCTGGCCCACATTCAGATACAAATTGTCTTTACAGTGTTGGCCTGTAGGTGTCACTGTTGGTCAAAGGAAACGTCTCAGTTTAGCGGGGAAGTGAGTTGTGTTGACTTTGTATCCAGGAGGTCACCATGGAAAAGTTTTTGCAGTCAACAGACAATGCCCCACATTTATGAGCTGCTTTACTTTCCAGCACCATTGGTAACTTGCCTTTCCTACTGCCTGTAATTGCAGGTTTGTATCTTTTAAGTTAAAAATGTGACTGGACGTGATGGCTCATCCCTGTAATCCCAACATTTGGGGAGGCTGAGGACGGAGGGTTGCTTGAGCCCAGAAATTTGAGACCAGCCTAGGCAACATAGTGAGACCCTATCCTAACAAAACAAAACAAAACATTTTTTTTTTTTAATTTTCCATCCATTTTTCTTTCCCTGC